TTCTTCTAGAAGCAGCTTCACGAGCTCCACATCGTCTGAGTCGAGGGCCTGGTGGATCCTCCGGATCCGCTTCTTGTTCACCAGCTCTGCCTCAACCGGGTCCTCCTCGGGTGGGTTGGATTTGGGGCGGCGGGCGTTTACGTCATTTACGAGGTCGGGCGGAAGCTCTTTCTCGACGGTGATGTCGTCGAGATCTGAGCGTGCGATTCGGTTGAGGCAGTGGGAGAGGAGATCGGAGAGGTGACAATGGGAGGCAGCCGTGAGGATGGGAATTACGTCCTCGACAAACGCTTTGTCGATGAAATTCATGAGACGACGCTGCACGAGAAAGGCGAAAAAACAGAGGTTAATACAAACCAAACCATAGTTGGCCAATCAAGCATGCAAACAAAGTGAATTATTTGTTTCTAAAAGGTTAGCTAAATAAAGTCTTTCTCTACTTCAAGATTTGGAATCAGAAGCAAAAATTGACATTTATAAACACAAAATAAGTAAGCATTATGTTTTTGTAGTGATCAGAAATTTTGTAGGTGCTATTCATCTAGCCGGGCTTTCATCACTGTTTTCATTGGAATACTCGTATGAATTCTGTGGAATTTTATGAAGTGGCCGCATAAAGTTAAAAACGACATTTTCTCACATACAAACAAAACATCTCTGCGGAAATCCGAGTCTTTAGACAGTTCCCATTCATAACTTTAGACAATGAAGATGAATCCCTTTCAGTGTACCATAACGATGAAACTATCTCTGATTTCATTTTATCCAGACAATGAAAGTACGTCAATCAAACATTCGCAATTGATAGCTCGGACCTTTTGGAAAATTATAAAAAAAGAAAACCTTCACTGGGTACAGAAAAACTGACCTGAACGACCATGATTAGTTCTTTGATCCGAAACGTAACCGAAGCATACAATATCTCGACTGCATAGTTGATGGCGGGCCCACAAGCATCATGCGCGCACGACTCATCCACGCAAGTCGACACCTCGGGAGGGGACGGCCGGAGCTTCCCAGTGTACATATAGCTCAAAATCACCATAAACGCCTCGTGACCTATTTTCCCATGCGGGAGCAATTCTTTCAAGACATATTTCGGTTTTTTACCCTCCTTCACCTTGCCGTTATAAGGCTTTTTAAACAATTCATGAAAAAATTCACTCCTTGCGGCCAAAATGCAGCGGTTGACCCCTACACTGAACCCCTCGACCACAATTTCGGCATCGCTATAGTCATACTCGGGGTTGGCCACGAGATTCTCGAGACACGAGCTTAGTTTACTCAAGCTCAGTAGCTCGAGGCTCGTCCCTAATTCGTGGCCGGTGGTGGAGGGCATATTATTGTTACTCGAACCACTCGATAAGTACGAAGAGGAGGCGAAACTCAAGCAAGAAGAGGGACCATTTCCATTTTCCATGTTAAATCCTTCTGCTAAAAGAATAAATGTGCAAAACAAATGTAGCCCCAAACTCCTTATCCTAAACACCAGGATTAACAACATACAATTGCATTGTGCTGTGACTACAAAAAGCAACCTTTTACAGTCATAGCCACTAAAAGCTCACTAATTTCTTCAATTCCTTCCAATCTATCCCAAACACAAGTGACACAGCCAATCATCAGAATACAAATCCATCACATTAAGCCAAGAAACTTTATAGTCAGTCTATTCTCCAACTCATAAAAAAGGACAGCTAGCTAAGAGCAACTAAAACCCTTTTGCAAATCCCAGAAGACAACTCGCCAGACATTCATAATCTCAGCTACAAAAGCCTCGAAATATCAACATGAGACTTACCAAAGATCAAAACTTTAACTTCTGGGCACCAAACATAGCATGTGTAATAAACTAACCCTTGTCAGGAAAATCTGTAAAGACTTCACCTTTTCTCAACCTGGATGAGTATCATCAAGAAATCTGTCGGCCCACTTCAATAAAACACCCAAATTTAGATCCCCGAAAAAATTTCAATATGGCAGAGAGAGAGAGAGAGAGAGATTTCTTGGGGTTTCCTTTTTTTTTTCTTTCTTTCTTTTTTGGGGGATTATCCGCTGTTTTATGATTGGATTGGATGGTTAACTTTGACCAGCAATTTTGAGTAGAATATGCAGCTGTGATGGAAACTCGAACAACTGCAGCAGCCAAAGGGGCGTGTGACAAAATTTTTGTTCATGAATTTAAACAAAACCAAATTTTTATAACAGACTTTGATTTAGAAGTTAAAACCCATTTGCACTGTAACAGTGATGTTTTTGTTTCTGTCAAGGGTTTGACATTGAGAGTGAAAAAACTGTTGAAATTAGGGGTTAAAAAAAAAAAAAAAAATGATGACTATGTTTTATGTCTTGAAATTATGAGATTTTTTTAGTTGTCAAATTTTGTACTATAATGTATGATGAAGATTCAATGAAATTAAAATCTTGAATGAAAACGACAGGGTTGATTTTTATGCGTCTTTCGTCTTTTGGCAAGTTGATTTTTGCTTTAGCTCACATTATCTACTAAGACACACGAATAATTTTCACTGATGACGAACTGCAAATATTATATTCATGACTTAGTGATGAATAATAATGTTAGATCATAGTCACCTAACTTGTGTTTGTCATGCAAATGAGTAGATACGAGAATACATGTCGTGAGCAATATTCAAGTGATGCAAATAACGGGAGATGCTACATTCCTGTCACGAAACCATCCCGTTTGGGTTTGTAACCGTTAGATCAACTATCTCTGACGATTACA